ACGGTGAGATTTCACATCTTAGAGACTTTATGTTCAGAATATAGACCCTATTTTCTAATTACTGCCTTCTATTAACGATTTACATATCATTTAGGCGCCTCTCCTCTCTCAAAACACATAAAAACACTACATTCAATTAATGTTCATTATGTATTTAAAAAAAAATTATATTCATTCCTGGCATACCATAAATATAAAAGTGGATATATGCACTAGTTTTGCCATGTATCGTTCTTTACTGAAGACAAGCAAGTTTACAGTTTCTTTGTCCCGAATCTTATGAAACCCATTATCACTGAAGTTGTTTCTGTTTCACATGAATATTGTCGCTTACTTATCAACAAGAGAGCGGACGGGATAAAAATAATGTAAATGAATAATTGTGTAACTTATTAAATGAAAATGTAAAGATCGGGTGGTAAGAGTAAGTGGCTGAGTTTGGGTTTACGCCGCTTTTCACCAATATTCCATCAATATTACGGCGGGGGACACCAGAAATGGGCTTCACACATTGTACACATGTGTGTGGGAAAGCAACCCCGTATCTTTGCCGTGATGAGCGAACGCTTTAACCACTAAATTACACACACACACACACACACACACACACACACACACACACACACACACACACACACACACACACACACACACACACACACACACACACACACACACACACACACACACACACACACACACACACACACACCGCGTGGTGAGGGTTTTCAAATACATTTATGCATTAGATAGAGTTGTGTTGGTTCGGAAACGTGCAGCACACGAGGGAACATTATTTCCCCAATTCAACCATGCGAGGAAAATAATGCACTACCCGAGGTCCACATGACCAACGTTTTTAAATGTACGTATCATTTGGTCTCCAAATTAGCATTTGTTCCACATTGAAGAGCATTAGGGAGACTATGAACAAATATGACAAATGTACGTTAATATGGCCATGATTCTCATATTTTAATAACGCCTGAATTAATTGTAAAAGTTGTTCATTGATGACACAGGTTTAAACACTCTGGAAATCGTGAATGACAAGGTTTAGATGTATCCTATATTTCATACTCATAGCTCAATGGATTATTTCCGTATTGACAGAAATTAGCATTCATTCCAATGGTTTGATAATGTGACTGCATTATATTAACAGCAACGGCTGGTTAGCATGTAGCATCCACGTCAGTGTGGTAATGAGGTAATTTGTAACATATGGCGTGGATCCTGTGTTGGCTGAGCATTTGCCACCAAAACTTCGTCGACGCACTTGCATTGAACTGATGTCAGGTTGCCACGAGAGTACAGTGATATATGTATCTGGTATTACTATATAAGTATTTGATATGACTAAAAATGCTTAACGTGTGTGTACATTATACAACACGTTTATATGCATGGGGTTATATTTTATATATTTAGAATCAAGGATATGATCCATATGAGCATGTTTCCATCAATATAAATTAATCAAAGCCACATGCCCTCCCATAATATCATGTATGTTATTATCTGTACCTGTGAAATGCCAGACAAGTATATCACAAGCAGTACATTTTATAATGGTTGTACTATAAGCTAACCAACATGTTTATATGATACCTATTAACAGAATGTTATAGAATGAGGAAAGAGTATATCCTTACGCCTTCATCAGGTGAATGAGCATTTTTCCATCAACATATACTAATCCAAGCCAGCTGCCACCCCTATAATATCACTTGAATTGCTCTCCGTAATTGTGAAATGTCAGACAAGTATATCATAAGCGCTACATTTTATGACGGAGTAAGGATATACTCCGAAAATTTGTGTTCCTTATAATAAAGAAGTTGACATCCATAAAAAAAACTCTCTTCCTTATGACCTGTTTGATGGGCATTTTAGAAGTTGAGTAGATGAAGAATAATGACAATTATTATGGATATACAACTTCTTTTATTATGTGGAGGCGACGTTTCGACATAGGTTCTAATGTCGTTGTCAAGCAAGTGATACATGAGCAACAAATTGAGAGAATATATACTGCTACTGATAGGAAGCCACGTGGATGTTTATACAATTGATGGGGTTGATGTACATGGTTGGAATGAGCTCTAACTCAGTCCTTGTATGTCACCCTACTGGCTTCCTATCAGTTTACTCTATCTCTCATGCAAACGATGTACATCAACCTCATCTATTGTATAAACAACTCATTCCCTATCTACTGTAACAACAACTCCTGTATATATTCTCTCAATTTGTTGCTCATGTATCACTTGCTTGACAACGACATTAGAACCTATGTCGAAACGTCGCCTCCATAGAATATAAGAAGTTGTATATCCATAATAATTGTCATTATTCTTCTCTTCCTTATGTTTATCACTTCTAAATGCCACTCAAAGCCCATACTACAAGAGTGTTCTACTATCACGTGTGTTCGACACAGTGTAGAAAACGATTGTTGATGTTCAGGCAACCATCATCCATTTGAATGATATTTTTGGGTATGAGGTTTGCGTATCGCTTTTGATAACTGCTGAACACATGAGATATTGTCATTATAATTATAATCCCGTGACACAAAATACCTGTCATTTTTTCATTGCCTTATCATGACGCAACAATGTCCAACCAACAATCTAGCCCAATGTAGACTTTGACGAACAGTAGAGTCACGCTTTCTGATAATTGTTTTAGGTGTGCACTCTATCTGATACAAAACCCGTTTAGGATAAGATAGACGGGAGGCGCAGGCTAGCGACCTCGTCATCATTTTAGAAAATACAGTTACTCGTCTATACGAAACTGTTGTGTGGATCATTTTCATTACGGTTCAGCCTCATGAATGCAAAAAAACAGCCTACAGTTTATGCAGCTAACTTGCAATCTGTGAAAATGAATGAAAGCTGCGGTTGTTTCTTATCGTGAAATGAAGAAATTTAGAACATAAAGAAGTGTCGTCAATCGACAGTAAAACTACTTGAGTATCACATATTTTGCTTTAAAACTATCTTGTTATCATAAAATGATATCACTATAGAGAATACTCTATATAAGCATTGGCTGAAGACCACCAACAACTGAAGAAGGATTACCATACTAAGGTCCATAGGGACTTGTAGCACTAATACTACCTGCATGGACCCTAGCTGGATTTACATTCCTATTTAAAGGTTGGCAAGTGGTTCTAATGTATAGATAAAAATGTATTTTAGTCTCTGAGATGAAATGATATCTTGTAAAATATTTTAATGACATAAAATATAAAACTGCAAAATATAAAAGTCTTTTTCAAACTGAAGAAATCTAGATTGCCAGTGTAGGCAAGCTTGGGACTTATTTTTACGATACTAAACAAGGTAGTGTCAAGTACCAAAATGTTTTTATTGTGAACGAAATAAAATGGTGGTCATTATGTTTCCTCCAGCTGAAGAGATTAGTTATACCATCGAAACAACCGAAAACATGAAAATCCTTCATGAACACTCTCTAAATTCTACTGAGTTATATTTATGGGTATGTATGACAGACAAGTGAGGTCCGTGTATAGGACACTGGTCCATGAATACATGAAATCAAGGTTCGAATGCATCTTACACAATGCATCATGTCTTATCACAACAAGCCTCATGTCAACACGCTGCACACCAACCTCTTCCGTTGTATAACCCATATACCCGCCATGTATATATTTCTCCTTGTGCACATTGTGTGTATCATTTGCTTGATAACGGTGTTAGGATCTACACCGAAACGTCGTTTCTACTGCAATAAAAAAGTTGTCTATCCATAAAAAGTGTTCCTCTTCATCATACCAGCTTCTAAATGCCACTTAAGGAAGGAAATGCATCTTACACGTCTGCCAATGTCTAGAGTAAAGACTCATTTTAAATCCTCCACATGCAATATTACACGCACATGTTGTCCTCAGCAACCCATAATTGTCGTAAGAGGGTACAAACATTATCGGGTGGTCAGGCTCGCTAATGCATGTCATCGTATGCAATTTGCAAAAAGCGATGATCATGGTGGAAATTGCTGGATTGTCTGTTCCAGCGTCAAACAACAAAAACTGTTCAAATACATGCCCTTGATATCCGGAATGACATATACGTTTTGAAGCCTTGCAAACATTTGAAAATGTAAAAAAAATACAAATGTTTACCCACCTCTAGCAATATTCATATCCAACCCTAACAAACTTAGATAAGATTGAAATGAATGTATTAGAAATACTCTTTGTACCAGCATGTCCTGAGGTATCAACTTTTCAATCCGTACTTGGAAACGTCTGCAAATCCGGTCATAGCATACATGAAAATAGTAACTTTGCATACGGCAATATACGATGGGTGCAGTTTGATATGGAATAAGCGCCGAAATTGGGGAAATATCATGAGAGATACGTAAACCCAGTCAGGACAGGTATTATATGTTGGTTTTGTGTTATTTTCAATGGTGTACTATCAGGCATTTCGTGCCGTGGTAGATAAAGAAAGACCATGCTGGTCTGTTGTTACCATAAGTAGTGCTTTTATCACATTAGGGCACTCCAGCTGGAAGCAGTGCGGTAAGATAACTGGTTTTATTATTTCACGTCGGAATGGAAATTCAGGGCGAATAGGTGGCAAACAAAAAAGAACAGCCTATAATTTTCAAAACGAACTAGCAGATATCTTCTTCATTCTTTCAGTTCTCACCTGAATATATCCAACAACAAAAATCAAGGTTTTACAACCCTCTTTACTTGTATATGTATGTACAGATAATTTCATTTTATATTTTGCAGTAAAAAAATGTCATCAAAAGCACAAAATATCTTGATTTGTGGAGGTGGCAACGGTGCACATGTTCTCGCTGGAATTCTATCTTCACGCGAGAACACTCAGACCAATGTACTGACACTAAATAACAACCATGCTGAGATTTGGAACAAATCTTTAGAACATGGAATGATGTGTTGCATGTTTCCAAATGAATCCGAAATCAGGGCGAGGCCAAACATGATTTCTAAAAATCCAGCAGATGTTGTCCCTGGCGCTAACCTGATCCTGATCACGGTACCTGCGTTTTCCCATGAAAAATATCTGAAAGCCATAGAACCTTACATATGCAGCCCAACAACCATTGTAGGCCTTCCTGGTCAACCAGGATTTGAATTTCAGTCTCGTGACATTTTTAAGGCAAAGTCCCAATTTGTCAGCGTGTTGTCTGCGACAACCCTTCCCTGGGCTTGTAGGATAGTTGAATATGGACGAAAGGTTAAAATCAATGGGATAAAGAAATCCGTAGATATAGCAATCATTAAAGATACCTCCAGGGGTACCATCAACCCTCTGCTACACTTGCAGTCCGTGTTGGGAAGTCCTCCTGCTCTAAACAAAATCAACCACTTCCTGGAACTAAGCCTCATGTTCGCCTCGATCCATCCAGGCCTGATGTATGGTCGCTGGAAACACTGGGACGGCATTCCCTTATCAGAGGAACCGCTTTTCTATCAAGGAACTGACGACTTTCAAGCAAAATGTGTAACTGACCTGGATAATGAAGTCCAGCTCATTGCAAAAGAAATTTCAAAACGGATTGGTATTCACTTTCAAGGATGCTTATCAATGTACGAGTGGCTCATTGAAAGCTATGGATGTGAAATATCAAACCCATCCAGCTTAAAGACCGTCCTTGTGACCAACAAGACCTACGAAGGAATGGTTCACCCAATGAAGGAAGTCAAAGGGGGATATGTGCCAGATTTTCAACATCGTTATTTGTCTGAAGATGTTCCTTTCGGGCTTGTTGTTGTGAAAGGTATGGCAAAGATCGTTGGTTTGAAGACACCGGTGATTGATGAGGTAATCAGATGGGGACAGCAGAAGCTTGGCAAAGTGTACATTGAAGGAACTGAGCTGACTGGAGAACATCTCTGTGAGACCAGAGCACCGCAGGTGTATGGAATTAAGACGCTTAAAGATCTCCATACAATGATGATATAAAGAGAGGAATTGACCAGCACAAAAATACATATATTCAAGTTGAGGTATCAGTGTATGTGCAGATATATATACTATCCAAAGAAAGCATAGGCGTTTTGTATTTTTAAAAATCTATTAATTACCTATTGTGTTCAGACAATCATCGACCGCCATATAGCTGGAATATTGCTGAGTGCGGCGTAAAACTAACTCACTCAGACAATCATCAAACAAATTAACAAAAGTGTTGATAACATGATTTTACACAATTGCACAAGTAAAAAATCGACTTTACCTGAAAATGTTGATTTGATGAGATTTCTTACAAGGCTCAAAAAGGCATCGCCACAACGCAACAGAAATCACCTTCCAGTTGAAATTGTGCAGCAAAGGGCATGCACTGTCTGACTTTAAAAATCCAGATTACTTTCGGAAATCGGCTTTCGTTTTGAAGGAGTTTTAAGGTCAAATGACTACGCTACGTCTTGACGCTGCGACACGGAACATCGCCATTGAAAGAATGCACGCTGGTGATTAACAATCTTCTGTTGCCAGGCGTCTGAATGTTAGTCTAAGCACGATATCACGATTTGCAGCACCTTACTACCAAATAGGCATAACAAATGACCGTCCCCGTACAGGCAGACCTAGAGTCACCCCTTCAGCCCAAGATCGGTACATCCGGGTTCTACATTTGTCTGATCGTACTGCCACGGGTGAGAGCACAGCAGCCAGGGTGCCTGGGCTTCGGATGATATCCGGTCAAACTGTACGGAACAGGTTGAGAAAGATTGGACTGAGGGCCAGGAGCCCCGACGTCCGGACCAAGCTACGCCGTCACCTACGACCGTTATCTAAAATTATCCACTTGGTTGTATAGACAATTCCTTCTTCTAAACTGTTTTAAAAATGCATGTACTATACTCTATTTGTGGACGAGTTATACATGTTTGAAAATACATTTTCGCAACAGATTTCAGGGTTATGCGTTTCTTTGAATAGTATATGTTTGTTAAATTGTATCGTATTGGTGGCTGCACATTCAGGGATTTGGTGGTTGGGCTCGCAGTCTTGGTTAGTGCTCATGATGCTAGTCAAGGGACTTTTTGGCCCTGACTCAATTTATCACAGAACTGGTATATCGCAGAATACAGCGTCGAACAACGACAAAACTTCGAGTCTCAGTTCCTTGCAAACATTAACAAGAACGCAAGTTATGATCCATTATATCACATTTCCCAGCTCTGTACACTAAGATATATTAAGAATCATGTATTCAGGTGTGAGGTTATCCGTTCTTCTCCAGATGTATCTCATACAATAAAAGCTTGCAATAACTTCGCATAAAGATATCGACCATTTTATTGTCGGATAAGATATTAACTGCATAAGTTTCCACTATGAAGGAATCTGAATACCAAGAAACATACCTCTTGGAAGGAACGAGCCGTTCGGTGTCTCAACTACATGCACAATATGAACAAATGGTATGACGACACAACCATAATATGTTACTGTCTCCTGGTTTGAACCAATGAGCTGTGGGTAATTAAGTTATTTCTTTCTAAGCAAGAACAAATATTCACAGTGTGCTGATTATTTATTTCTAACGTCGGGTTCGGTGGTTCGGTGCTTTATCCAGCACACAGTGAGTTATCTTTATTTATTTATTTATTTGTCAATTTTCAGATGAAGCGCTTAACATGTAAGACTCTGTCTAGTATCTAACAGAAACGTGTGTAAGATTAAGTGATTTTCCTGATGATTATAAGTGCATAAGACAAAGTATAACGTATTGTGCGGGTTACATACATATATTGTTAATCATAAGACAATCAAAAACCGAATTGAGCGTGCGGATTACATACACTGTAGCACATGAGACCAATTATAAGCTGTGTGCGGGTTACACAAATTGTTGATCATAAGACAATCAAAAACCGAATTGAGCGTGCGGATTGCATACACTGTAGTACATGAGACCAATTATAAGCTGTGTGCGGGTTACATACATTGTTGTTCATAGGACAATCAAAAACCGAATTCAGCGTGCGGATTACATACTATATAGCAGATGAGACCAATTATAAGCTGTGTGCGCGTTACATACATTGTTGTTCATAGGACAATCAAAAACCGAATTGAGCGTGCGGATTACATACACTGTAGCACATGAGACCAAGTATAAGCTGTGTGCGGGGTACATACATTGTTGCTCATAGGACAATCAAAAACCGAATTGAGCGTGCGGATTACATACACTGTAGTACATGAGACCAATTATAACCTGTGTGCGGGTTACATACATTGTTGTTCATAGGACAATCAAAAACCGAATTGAGCGTGTGCGGATTACATACACTGTAGCACATGAGACCAGTTATAACCTGTGTGCGGGTTACATACATTGTTGTTCATAGAACAATCAAAAACCGAATTGAGCGTGCGGATTACATACACTGTAGCACATGAGACCAATTATAAGCTGTGTGCGGGTTACATACACATTGTTGTTCATCACTGTAAACCAATTATCAGGTGCGGGTTAGAACAATCAAAACCGAATTGAGCGTTACGGGTTACATACATTGCGGATTACAATCAAAAAAACATTGAGGCGTGCGGATTACAGCACATGACACCAATTATAAGCTGTGTGCGGGTTACATACATTGTTGTTCATGGGACAATCAAAACCGAATTGAGCGTGCGGATTACATACACTGTAGCACATGAGACCAATTATAAGCTGTGTACGGGTTACATACATTGTTGTTCATAGGACAATCAAAACCGAATTGAGCGTGCGGATTACATACACTGTAGTACATGAGACCAATTATAAGCTGTGTGCGGGTTACATACATTGTTGTTCATAGGACAATCAAAAACCGAATTGAGCGTGCGGATTACATACACTGTAGTACATGAGACCAATTATAAGCTGTGTGCGGGTTACATACATTGTTGTTCATAGGACAATCAAAAACCGAATTGAGCGTGCGGATTACATACACTGTAGTACATGAGACCAATTATAAGCTGTGTGCGGGTTACATACATTGTTGTTCATAGGACAATCAAAACCGAATTGAGCGTGCGGATTACATACACTGTAGTACATGAGACCAATTATAAGCTGTGTGCGGGTTACATACATTGTTGTTCATAGGACAATAACAAAACGAACTGAGCGTGCGGATTACATACACTGTAGCACATGAGACCAATTATAAGCTGTGTGCGGGTTACATACATTGTTGTTCATAGGACAATCAAAAACCGAATTGAGCGTGCGGATTACATACACTGTAGTACATGAGACCAATTATAAGCTGTGTGCGGGTTACATACATTGTTGTTCATAGGACAATCAAAAACCGAATTGAGCGTGCGGATTACATACACTGTAGTACATGAGACCAATTATAAGCTGTGTGCGGGTTACATACATTGTTGTTCATAGGACAATCAAAACCGAATTCGTGCGGATTACATGCACTGTAATACATGAGACCAATTATAAGCTGTGTGCGGGTTACATACATTGTTGTACATGAGGACAATCAAAACCGAAATGCGCGCGGTATTGCGGGTTACATTGTAGCACATGAGAGACCAATTATGCTGTGTGCGGGTTACATACATTGTTGTTCATGGGACAATAACAAAACCGAATTGAGCGATGCGGATTACATACACTGTAGTACATGAGACCAATTATAAGCTGTGTGCGGGTTACATACATTGTTGTTCATAGGACAATAACAAAACGAATTGAGCGTGCGGATTACATACACTGTAGCACATGAGACCAATTATAAGCTGTGTGCGGGTTACATACATTGTTGTTCATAGGACAATAACAAAACCGAATTGAGCGTGCGGATTACATACACTGTAGTACACATGAGACCAATTATAAGTTACATACTGTGTGCGGGTTTACATACATTGTTGTTCATAGGACAATCAAAAAGCCGAATTGAGCGTGCGGATTACATACACTGTAGTACATGAGACCAATTATAAGCTGTGTGCGGGTTACATACATTGTTGTTCATAGGACAATCAAAAACCGAATTGAGCGTGCGGATTACATACACTGTAGTACATGAGACCAATTATAAGCTGTGTACGGGTTACATACATTGTTGTTCATAGGACAATCAAAAACCGAATTGAGCGTGCGGATTACATACACTGTAGTACATGAGACCAATTATAAGCTGTGTGCGGGTTACATACATTGTTGTTCATAGGACAATCAAAAACCGAATTGAACGTGCGGATTACATGCACTGTAGTACATGAGACCAATTATAAGCTGTGTACGGGTTACATACATTGTTGTTCATAGGACAATCAAAAACCGAATTGAGCGTGCGGATTACATACACTGCAGCACATGAGACCAATTATAAGCTGTGTGCGGGTTACATACATTGTTGTTCATAGGACAATAACAAACCGAATTGAGCGTGCGGATTACATACACTGTAGCACATGAGACCAATTATAAGCTGTGTGCGGGGTACATACATTGTTGTTCATAGGACAATAACAAACCGAACTGAGCGTGCGGATTACATACACTGTAGTACATGAGACCAATTATAAGCTGTGTGCGGGTTACATACATTGTTGTTCATAGGACAATCAAAAACCGAATTGAGCGTGCGGATTACATACACTGTAGTACATGAGACCAATTATAAGCTGTGTGCGGGTTACATACACTGTTGTTCATAGGACAATCAAAAACCGAATTGAGCGTGCGGATTACATACACTTTAGCACATGAGACCAGTTATAAGCTGTGTGCGGGTTACATACATTGTTGTTCATAGGACAATCAAAAACCGAATTGAGCGTGCGGATTACATACACTGTAGCACATGAGACCAATTATAAGCTGTGTGCGGGTTACATACATTGTTGTTCATAGGACAATCAAAAACCGAATTGAGCGTGCGGATTGCATACACTGTAGTACATGAGACCAATTATAAGCTGTGTGC